GGGTCTCTAGGGACAGACGCATGCCAAGTTAATATTCTTACTCTGTGATGCCAGGGGCTGCAACCAAGGAGCCCTGGTATTTACCACTTACAAAATAGTGAAGAGGAATAATTGTTCCTCCCCCAAAACGGGGAGCCTAAGGAAATGATAGTTCCCTTACTAGCTATAGACTAGACACTAAAGGAACAACTTATTTGATGGTAGACACAGAGGAGACAGAGAAACGAAGCCCAAGGGGACAGCGAATGGCTTCGTATTAAATGTGAATGAAGCAAGCATCCCTGATTTCTTCATTTCCTCCTGCTTTGTCCAGGGCTCTGACCCCATGTGTCCCCACGGATTAGCAGAGAAGATTGACTGGGACCAGAGCATGACCCCTTCATCATGGCCTTGGAGAAACACATGTTCCAGATATCTTGGGTGAGACAATGGAGGCTTAAAAAGAGAAGGACTGATTAATATTTTTAAATCAATGTGAACATTTTTGGAAGTCTTAAAGCAAAACAAATTATAGGGAAGCTGACAAAATTCTAAAAACATAAATATAATCAGTAATCTGGTCACTCACCTATTACTTAATATTTCAGTTATTTCCTTCTTAATATTTTTATTTCTATCTATCCTATAACTATACCTCTCTCTTTAACCACGCATTTTTCAAAATTTGGAACCCATCAGATTTTATAAACTAGAATTACAACATGTTATTTCTTAATTCATTTAACTCTCCCTCTACTGTTAGACTTTTAAGTTATTTGTTTTTATTCTAAATAACCCCATGGCACATCTCCTTATAAATAAACTTAAGAGTTTCTCAGTATTTCCTTGGAATAGTTTCCTTAAAGTGATATACCTAGGTCAATAGATAAAAATCTTGAAAACACTCTTGCCAAACTGTTTTGTAGACAAGTTATGCCAATTTATATTGCTACCACTAGGATAGGAAATTACCCATTTCCCCACACCCACAATAACCCTGAACTTCCTTTTAACCTTTGGTAATTTGCTAGATTAAATTGTCATTGTTTTAATTTGCTTTCTCTTGGAAACTAGTGAGGTTGAATATCTGTCATGTTATTAGATATTCTGAGGATTGTCTACTGGGCTTAAGTTTAAAAAGATATTCATCTATGTTTTCTTCTTTTTTTTTTTTAAGCTTTGTTAGCATTTAACTCTTTAATGTATCTATGGTAAGAGGCAAAGGTATAATTAAAAATTTTTTCCTGGAGCACCTGGATGGCTCAGTTGATAGAGCATATGACTCTTTTTTTTTTTTTTTTTTTTTTTTTTTTTTTTTTTTTTTTTTTTATTTATTCTTGATAGAGAGAGAGAGCGTGAGTGGGGGAGGAGCAGAGCGAGAGAGGGACACAGAATCTGAAGCAGGCTCCAGGCTCCAAGCCATCGGCACAGAGCCCGACGTGGGGCTCAAACTCACAAACAGCGAGATCATGACCTGAGCCGAAGTCGGACGCTCGACCGACTGAGCCACCCCGGGCGCCCCTATAGAGCATATGACTCTTGATCTCGGGGTTGTGAATTTGAGACCCACACTGGGTGTAGAGATCACTTAAAAAAATAAAATCCTTAAGAAACAAAAGAACGTTTTCCCTAGATCTTTAACCAGTTGTTCTACCATTTGTTCAATGATTGTTACGCTTTCTTTAATAAATAACTAAATTGCAGTTACATTGGGGGCTCTTTCGGGCCACCTGCTTTAAGTTCCTTTACCTGTCTGTTGATTTTGGCACCAGTTCCAGCTAATTCAATCACTGTGACTTTATAATGTATGCCACTTCAATATCTGGTAGAGCAAGGCTATTCATTATTTTTCCTTTTCAAAAATTGCGTAGCTTTCTACCTCATTCCCATATGAGTTATTCTCTTACATATATTTTAGAATTTTTTTTTAAGAAAAAAATCCATTGGAAGTCCCCTCCCTCCCCCATTGGAAGTTTTGACTGAAATGGCATGAAATCTGTGCATTAACCGATTGACATAAGTAGGGATTTTGTAAGCACGGATTCCGTGACAGCAATCAGGACTTTGTCCTTGAGCCATTGCTCCTCCAGAGGACAGAGTGGAGTGAGGATTTAGAGACTGGGCCTTGGTCTGGGGCCTTGCTCTGTGAGCTTGGCAAGTTCCAGAACCTCTCTGTGCCTCAATTTCATCATCCATACAATGGTTGTTGTTGTTTCATTAGGCCCAGAACCAACATGGTGACTGAGTCAAATCTCAGTCAAATCTCAAAACATTACCAATTAAATTTTTAATCTGTCCATCCAAAAAGTACCTTCTAGCCTCCAAAGGAAAGACTGTCTGGAAAAAGCAAAGGCAGTGTAACTGACAATGGGGACTATCTCCATCTAAATGTAAATCTGGAATCTCCAGTTGAATATAAGCATCAGAAGGGCAGGGATTCCTTTCTCTCACCCCACCTCACACACACATACACATAACAGGCACTTAATATGTATTTGTTGAATAAATGAATGAATGGTGATCATTCTCCCAATCCTGGAATTCCAGGACAGTAAGGCCAAGAGCTTTCCCCACCTCTGTGAAATGGCCAGGGAGAGTCACAGACTTCTTAGGAAAACTCAGGTAAAGTGAGCCTTCTTTAGGCCTTGCCAAGCTTCCCCACACACAAATGGAGGAGGGTGCATTGGAGAAAAACCTTAGGCTATTTTACAAAACCAACACAATTAAAGAAGACCCTAGAATTTTCTCTTAGTATCTGAGAGCTGCCTATGTTACTAGCCACTGAATTATTTTACTCTCTTCTTAAAGTGAAGAACAGCCTAATGGATACTAATGCTGTTTAAGATATCCATACATACATGTTCCCACTAGCATTAGTCACAATATCCAACACATGGAAGCAAAGCGAATGTCCACCGACAGATGAATAGAGACACAAAATGTGATCTATCCACATATCGGAGTATTAATCAGCCATAAAAAGTAATGATGTACAGACACATACTACAACATGGATAAAACTTGAAGACATTCAGTGAAAGAAGCCAGTCACAAAAGGACAACTGCATGCTTCCACTTATATGAGGTCCATTGAATAGGCAGAAAGCAGAATAGTGGTTGCCAGGGGATGGGGGTGGGGGAAATCGAGAGTTATTGTTTACTGGGTACAGCTTCAGTTTGGGAGGATTAAAAAGTTCTGGAGATGGATGGTGGAGGTGGTTGTACAACAGTGTGAATGTAGTTAATATCACTGGACTATACACTTAAAAATAATTAAGATGTTAAGTTTTATATTATATATATTTTACCACAACTTTTTAAAAAGGTACTGATGCTGTTTCAAGATGCCTTCACGGGTGCCTGGGTGGCACAGTCAGTTGACCATCTGACTCTTGATTACAGCTCAGGTTATGACCCCAAGGTCATGGGATGGAGCCCTGAATCAGGCTCCACGCTGAGAGTGGAGCTGCTTGAGATTCTCTCTCTCTCCCTCTGCACCTCTACCCTGCTTGCACGCATTCTCTCTAAAATAAAAAATAATAATAAAATAAATTTTTTTATAAAAGATGCTTTTAGGGGGCACCTGGGTGGCTCAGTCAGTTGAGCATCTTGATTTTGGCTCAGGTATCGTCTCACGGCTTGTGAGATTGAGCCCCACAACAGGCTCCACGCTGGATATGGGGCCTGCTTAGGATTCTCTCTCTCCTGATGCCCTTCCCTTGCTCTCTCTCCAAAAATAATAATAATAATAATAATAATAATAATAATAATAATAATGCTATTAGAACTATTTTTACATAAAGGAAGCAAAAGGCCACAGTACACAAAGCTGGCTCACTCATTTCATGAACTGATTACAGATGACCCTCAATTGTGGGGAGAGAAAGGCATCCCATGGGCTAACATTAGGAATAGATGCCTCCTTGACACTGGTCCTGGAATTTTCTGATTCTACCTTGACAGCAGCCCATGTTGTTCTCTGCTGCCAGCTGACCTCAGTCAGTTCCTCCCCAGTCCATTAGAGATGTTCCAATAAACTCGAACCTTTAAAGGAGTCTGCATTCAGCTTCCTACCCAGAAGATGTAAATAGCATATGGGCATCCTCACTTAACCCATCAGCGCATCGAAGATACAGGTCTTTGCCATGCTGATATACACTCCTTTATACTCTTCTAGCAGAATCGTGGGTAGGTGGTACTCTCCTTACATCCAAACAAAGGAAAGGGGCCCCTCAGATTGCTCACTCCAGACCAAGGACATCTGCTATAAAGATGACCAAAAGTTCCCTGTTATATAGACTGAAAACTTTTAATTTTAAGTAATCTCTACACCAAATGTGGGGCTCCAACTCATAACCCCCAGATCAAGAGTCGCTTGGTCTTCCAACTGAGCCAGCCAGGCACCCCAGAAAACAGCAGTTTCTAAAGGGCAATTCTCCTCCCTCCCCTCTAAAAACCCCAAGTGTTTTAATAAATATAAAGATCCTAGACGTGTAAATGGAAACAATTTTTATCACTGCCATCATTAATATGATAATTATCGCCATTATAGTGGACGGAAAAGATCTGCAAAATCTACAGGAAGGACGACAGAGAAGGAGTTGGCAATAGTTCCAGGTTTATGGCAAATAGTACCCTAAACTGGATGGAGGATATAGGAGAAGCAGATTGAGCGAGACAGGGAAAGATTCAGGAGAAGAGAAACTGACGACGATGTGCTGGAGGGTGTGGGGAGCGGAGGAAAGTAGGTGGGTAAGAACGAAGGTAGCGCAACAGTATATAAAGTTGAAGGAAAGGCTGCCACGAGCCCGTAGCGCAGCACTACACCATCAGTATCAAATCTGCGCTCCCTCCCGGGTTTCTAATCTGCCCCACGTTCCTTGAAATACCGCGAGAACGCGAAGCCAATAAACCCTCCAGAGGTAGCCTAAAGACACGCCCCCCGCCCCGGGCCCCGCCCCTCGCGTCCGCGCCGTATTCGGTAGTCAATAAAACTGCGGCGTCTCGGCGTTTGTGGCGGGTAACATGGCGGCTTCCATGCTGGGTTCTCTGCTGCGGACGGTCCGGCAGGTCAGGCCTGTGCCCTTAGCCCCATGCCTCCTCCTTCCCACTGAATCCCCAAACCCGCGGGTCCCCTACTACTCCACCAACTGCAGTGCCCAGTGTGGACCCGTCTCAGGGGAGGTCCGAACTGCAGATTTGGTGTTCGTAAGCCTATAACTGACAGGCATTGAAAGCTGCAGGTTGCCGCCTATTTGTAAGAAGTTAGTGCAGGTGGAAAAGAGTAGGAGTCCGTGGATTGAGGCCCGAGGGATTCCCAACGTCAAGCAAGGAGAGTCGAGCAAAGACTTGGGCGTTCAGCGAGGGAGAGGGAAAGCTTGGAGAGTGTCGTGGCCCAGAGGCAGGTGACAGAATTTCTGGGAGCAGAGTGGTCAGCCCTCTGCTCAGAGTTGCCAGACCAATTAAAAGGGGGAGATAACTGGCTATTGGTTTTAGCAGTGTGGAGGTTGGGGCCTCCATCATAGCAGTTTTAATGGCGTGGTAGGGGCCAAAGCGTTCAAGAGAGAATGAGGAAAGAAATTGGGAGACTACGAGTATCGACGAACCTTTGCAGATGTTTTGCCAAAGGGGAGCCGAAAAATGGGTCAGTAGCTGGAAGGACAGGTGGGTTAAGAGTGTTTTGTGTCTTTGTTTTTTCACGTAACAGAAGTTAACTGCAGGTTTTTGTGTTAAAGCGGAAGATCCTGTAGCCTGGGAAAAATTGAGAGGGAAGAATTGCTGGAGCTGTGCCCTTGTGTAGGTAGAAGGTGATGGGTCCCTGTTCCATTATTTGGTCTAAGGAACATGGACAGTTCATCACCTGCGGTAGCATTGTCCAATAGAACTATAATGCCAACTACATGTGTAACTTAAAACATTCTAGTGGCTATGTTAACAAGGCAAAAAGAAACATGAAAATTTTAATAAAATATTTGAAGCCAGCGTATCCAGAATATTACTTCCATATGTAATCTATGAAAATGACTTATGAGATATTTGCATTCTTTTTCATACCAGATCTTCAAAATCCAGTTTGAATTTTACTTCCGGCACATTTGTTTGGATGCCAGATCTTCCGCTATTAACATGGAAAATGTAGCCCTACCAAAACAATAAAGTTGTTTGATATTTACAGCTGCTTCAGTTTAAATGTTTAATGAATTAAATTAGGAATTAATGTTCTCCAGTTGCACTAGTTACTGCATTTCAAGTGTTCGGTAGAATATGTGGTTAGCGGCTACTATCTTAGAATGGATCTTTAATAACAGGAGGGAATATACAGCATATGATTACAGATTCTGGTAAGTGGGTAGATGTAACAGATATTTATGGATATTTCTGATTGCTTCTAATTCTATAAAGAGAAGTCATCAGTGGCATGTGAGGATGTGGGAGCAGGTGTTAGGGATTTAAGGAAAGAAGAAATGGCGTGAAATAGGAGTAGACAGGAAAACTAGTAACAAGAATTGGAGCAAGTATAGTGATGTTACAGAGGGGCCAGAGAGTTGAAGATGTATGAAAAACAACATTGTATTTACACGCTATGGAATTCAGGCTGGGTAAGGGGAGAAAGGAAATCAAGACCTGACAGTGAAAAGGTGGTAGGCTCGGGGCGCCTGGGTGGCTCAGTCGGTTAAGCGTCCGACTTCGGCTCAGGTCATGATCTCGCGCTCTGTGAGTTCCAGCCCCGTGTCAGATTCTGTGTCTCCCTCTCTCTCTGGCCCTCCCCCGTTCATGCTCTGTCTCTGTCTCAAAAATAAATGTTAAAAAAAATTTTTTTTTAATAAAAAAGAAAAGGTGGAGGATCAATGAATTAAAAACCTCACAGGAATTGTTATTGGGGTGTTTGAAGGAACAAGCTAGAAA